TTTCTTTCTTTCTTTCTTTCTTTCTTTCTTTCTTTCTTTCTTTCTTTAACATAAATGGTGGCTTAACAAAAAATTATGACTAATTTCTAAGGTAATTTATTTACCACATTACAAAATATTTGATTAAAAATAATAAAGCTAAGGAACAAGAAAGCAAAAACAAGCCACCTTCAGTATGACCTACAGAATTAAAAACATTTTTCTTTCAGTAAATTGACTTTGTTAAACCATCAAAGCATGCCCTGGCTGAAAGAAACTGGTACAGTATTAAAACATATTTAATAAAGAAGGAAAGCTAGTTAAAGGGCAGACAGTAAGCAGGTATCACAGACAAGCTTAACAAACCTAAACAGTAAACAAAAGGAAATCAAAAGGCAACTGTTCCAACAGCTGCACAATGTTATTATTGGAATCAGTAAACAAATGCAGCACATTAAATAAAGTGGGTTGCTTTCTTCCACTGCTGTTCCCACCCTCCTGACCTCCTACCCCCATGTGAAGGAAAAAGCTCCAAGACATTTAATGCAACCAGCTGTCAGATCCAAAGAGAACAGATCCCACGGCTCACAAATCTGGTCTCCATCATCGCTAAAGTTACAGCCAAACAATTCAGCACAACTAAATTATGGCAATAAGCCTATTCATTTTTCATTTTAAACACAAATTACTTTGAAAGCTAAGAAAACAGATAAGAAAAAAATTATATATAATTTTACTTTAGTTTGATAACACAATAAGGAAAGTGGACATTTGGCATTAGGGAGCATTTCTGATTTTTTGGACAACTCTTCTCCTTAAATGGGCTGAGCAAGAATAGAAAGTTATAAACTTGAATGTTCATAAATTCACTTAAAAAGCAAGTAACAAGCTATGAGAAATCCTAAGGTTAGGTCTAAATAGACAATCAGCTTGAAAACAAACCAGGGATTCCAGACCCTGAATTAGATGGTGGACACACCTATGAAGAAGCCACAGGAACTTGGGATTATGCAGGTTGGTTCTAGCATTCTCAACGAGCTTCTAATTGTTTAGGGTTGAGGAAGGAAGCTTCAGGGGGCTTTCAAAGTCTTTCCTCTTTTTTTTTTTTTTTAAGATTTTATTTATTTGACATAGAGAAAGAGCACAAACGGGGAGTGGGAGAAGAAGCAGGCTCCCTGCTAAGCAGGGAGCCTGACGATGACCTGAGCCTAACGCAGTGACTTAACTGACTGAGCCACCCAGGTGCCTCAAGTCTTTCCTCTTTAGTTTGTGAAGCCTAGGGCCCATTTCAGGCTAGACGTCAGTCACTCCTAAGTTTGTCTCATGGTTTTGTAGAGAATGAATAGAAATGAACAAGGAAACTCTACCTTTCATATCAAAGGGTAGTATTCTCCCATTATGATGTTTAAAAGTCATTCTACCTTCAACCTACTCAATGTGACTCAAAAACAGAGGTAGTCTTATAAAATGCAAAATCTTGGGAGGCCAAAACAGCTGTGTCAGAGATAGTTATACATAAAGTGGGACAGCTACCATTTCATGGACAGTCTTTAGCTTACATAGCACCTGATCACCCATCATTCTGGTCAGGCTTTCTGCAAAGACGTGTACCTTAGTAGACTTTGGGGGAAAGTCTGATGAAGATGATAAGGCTAAGGTGCAAAGGCTTCCTGATAAGTCAGTTTTCCCTTCTGTTTCCCTGTTCTTATAGCACTGTACACATACCTGAAATTACAACATCTAGTAGAGTATACTGTAGTTATCACTAGTTTCTATTATAAAAGTAATCTATGTTCATGAATGAAAGCTCCCAAGGGGGAAAAAACTGTCCCTCAACACCCAAAAAGTAGCCAAGGTTAAGAGTTTTTGTATCATGTTGGTATTTTAATTTTTCTATGTCTAAGTTGGTTCATACCACTAGACTATGAGATCCTTGAGGGCAAGGACTATGTGTTTTTCATCTCTATATCCTCAATACCCAGAACAATACCTGGGACAGAGGAGGAACCTGGTAAATGTACAGGAAAAATAATAACCATGCTGGCTATAGTTAGTAGCCAGTTATTAAACAGGCTAGGTGCTCAGCTATGTAGTAAGCACTTTACATGTATCATCTCATTAAATGTAGGTGCATTCATTTTCTTCATTTTATAAATGAATAAACTAGTACAGCAAGGTTACAAAACTTGCTCATGGTTACAGAGTAAGTAGCTGGTAAAGTCAGTATTCAAACTAAAGATGTTATGGCTCCAAATTGCATGCCCTTAGCTATTACAGTGGAGAAATGATCAGTCTCGAATGCATCTGTGTCACAGTTAATAAACAACAATAAAGAAATAAAAGATAGGTGGCTCAGTTAACCATCTGCCTTCAGCTCAGGTGATGATCCGAGGGTCCTGGGATTGAGCCCTATATCGGGCTCCCTGCTCAGTGGAGAGCCTGCTTCTCCCTCTCCCACTCCCCCTGCTTGTGCGTGCTCTCTCTGTTAAATAAATAAATAAGATCTTAGAAAAAAAAAAGAAAAAACATAAAGAAGTAACAAGTTACGAGTAACAAAGGATACAGCAGAGTGCACACACAGATGCAAGAGAAATATTAAAATCAGAACAGTTCTATTTTACAGTAGTCTAAATGTACATTCAATGCAACTAAGTTAAGAGTTGCATATCTGTTTTCATCTGAAACTACTCTAATGAACAGAAAAGATGTTTTAATATGAAAGCAGCTGAGGGTTAGCATGATCCTGGGAAACATGCCACCTATGAATACCATGCACACATGTGGGTTTTGCTATTCTCTGGCTTGAACACAAGCCATCACTGTACTAGGCCTGGAGATACAGCCTCTTAAAAGCCCATTTAATGGAAAAGGGAGGAAAAAAGCCATCTTTTAGACAATGAGTCTCAAAGTAAAAAATATATTTAAAAAGAGGCACATAGATGATAAATGAATCCTACACATTAATAAGGTAATCTACTCTGCCTTACGAATGAGCATCGGGGGGCAGGGTGACGGGAAGAATGCTACCTCAGAATGAGGACTAGCTTTACGGGGGTGGGCACGAGTATTGCTGGAAGCACATTCTGCTTCTCGAATATAGTTTATGATTTGTTCCACATACTGTTCACAGTGAAAATACTAAGCAATGGAGCATTTACTAACAAAAATGACAGAAACTGACCACACAGACCTATCCCAGACATTTACATAAAAACCTCTGATGATGTATAGTTAAGTAAACTACACAGATTCATATGAAGAAGCAAAAAGTAAATAACAAATTGAGATATAAGGGACTGCAAATGTTTTTAAAGAACTAGCATGATGTGAAACTAAATAAAGACAGGCAAAACAAAACAAAAAAAGCACTGTATAGGTTCTAATTCAAACATGATGAGGAAATACCAAGAGGTTAGTCCACATATCCAGGATCATTTCCTAGATGTTTACAGAGACTATATATTCTGACGATAAAGAATGAGTTGGATGATCTTCAAATCTACAACTTTTTTTTCTTTTGGTAAGGTATGCCTTACTAAGGAATAGAAATTATATCCCATTTAGTGACACACACACACACACACACACACAAAACAACTATGTTTAGTGAAAACAAAACAAAACAAAAAAACCATGAAATGAAGCTGAATTTAACAAAGCTGGAAAATCTGATCATTACACCTGTTTAGGAGCCACATTATTTTCCTCCTTCACAAACGTCTTTAGATCCAAGTTCAACTCCAGTTTATATAGAAGAAAGTGAGGCCTTTTTATTCTTTTGTCTTCTCTACTTTTAAGCCTTTGTTTACTGAACTCTGAATGACTAACACAACATTAACAATTCAGAGTCCCTGACAAGCTTCACATTTTTTTCTTTTTTTTTTTTTAAAGATTTTATTTATTTGTCAGAGAGAAAGAGAGAGTGAGCGGGCAAAAGGCAGAACGATAAGCAGGTTCCCTGCTGAGCAAGGAGCCTGACACAGGGCTCAATCCTGGGACCCTGGGATCATGACCCGAGCCAAAGGCAGCCGGTTAACCAACTGAGCCACCCAAGCATGCCAGCTTCACATTTTCTGACTTAAATCTCAAGAAAATATATATTAACAGGACTTGTATGAGTCAAATTACTTACTGAAACCTGCTGAAAAGTATAATTATTAAATAAACTAAATGACAATTTTTTTCTTAGAATATAGTACCCATTTAGCTTAATTTATGTAAGTATATAAGCCAATTTCAGTACAATCAAAAGGAGAGTTTATGTATTTACATATATTTAAAGTGTTTAGAATTTTGTTGGCACAAAGTGTTAGCTTTACATTACAAAATGCTAGCTTTATCATTAGTATTTACTAATGTTTTAAGAAGTTAACATGAAGTCTAACTGATTTTTTGAAAGCTAGACGATACTTCATACCCTAGTTTCAATTAAGACAATAAGAAACCATCATCCACTTAAATTTTTAAGCTTCTTTTTAAAAAATATTTCCCACAAAAGACAAAAGTTGAGTTAAATTTTACCAGCTGAATCTCACATACTAGTTCTACAAAGTGCTAGTCTCAAAAGGGAGCAGAAACGGGAACGCATTTTATGGTGTGTACACATAAAAAAACAGATTTCAAGGCCCACTGAGTGTTCTAGTAAGAAAGGCAGAGAATCTTCCTGCAATCCTTGGGAGACCGTAAACTGAAATGTCTCTCTCTCCATGCAGTCCTGAGCTTCTCTCACTGGGGAATGC